TCTACGATGAGTGTACACAACACGCTAGTTCCCCATAACTATCATCTATGACATCTCCGCAGCAAAGAGTCTCTGCCATAGACATCTATGACATCCATTGCAGCATAAACATCTATGGCATTAATTACAGCATAGGCATCTTCTAAGAAGATTCTTCTTCCCCCATGAACTTCTTCACTCCTCATCTTGCCACTATACGTCTCGCGGTCAGGCACTACCCATCCTTACTAGAAACGTGTAATTCATCGTATTCGATCAACTAAATCATCACAGCACCCTTCATGGTGGCTTTTCTCGCACCTAAGGGTATGCTGTCTGATCGGTGAATTGCGCCGGCACATCATGTGCCGCACATGCTAGTGCTGACTCAGGAAAGTAGTGTTGGCGGATCATCTAGTCGGTCTCTTGATCCGCACGGGCAGTAAAATCGCTCGGATAGGCACAAGTGCCGTACGGTGTGGTGTGGAAGTCAAATGCACGCACAGCAAGAGTCTCTAAATGAGGCAGACATTCCCAGCCACCTCGTATAACGCTTCAGAGAGTGTTTCCCTCCTATACAGCATTTCTCACAGTGAATTACTATGGCTGTGTGAGTGTCTGATACTGTAAGGTTATGTTCCTATTATTCTCGCTCATTACTTATCGCTTGGGGTAAAATCTGCTGAACGGAGGCGGCAAGAGAATACAGTCGAGGATCCTCATAGGTCTCGAAGTACTTCTCAACGGGGGACCGATCATCGGTCACCGATGGGGTTGACGACGTCAACTTGACGTTGCCCCGACGGCCGGCTGAGAACTGGCATACGCATCTTGAGTCAAGATGCTTGACACCACGTGTTGAACACGCCGAGAGACACCAGGAGTGTAGAATGCCTTCACAGTGCTCAGGATTGAGCGCGATAGTTTGCCCAGCGTGAAGGATATACAGATCGGGTGGTACAGGATCCCGAAAGGAACGGTAACCCTGGAGAAGTTCATTTACGCGTCCCTGAATGGCAAGTGCACTGGTTGTCACGGGAACGATTTTGTAGCCCACAGAGCTACCCGTCCTAAGCTTCTGTATGCAGTACCATGACCTCGGACTCTACAAGGGCTACAGTGTAAATGCCGTAATGCCTCGATGCCGTCTCTGCCGAGATAACCTACGTCACAAGTTTACCTGTATGCTAGCAGGTCGAATGTAACTTCGTGGCGACTCCGAGGCAATGGACCATTGCACCAGGTGTTGATATTTCTCGGGTTGAGATGATAAGAGCGGGTATGACAGCGAGCGAAGTACAGCGTTATATTGAAACTGGGATCATCTCTTACCACCAGCTGTGCAAAGCCCGTTTTCATCGCCAAGCACGTCAAGGCCTATCGTTCGGCAAGGGACCGGCATATGATTTCCCTGAGTGCCCGAGGATATTCATCCCAAAGTTGCGACTTTGACCAAGTCGTTCCTTGAAGATTACGTCACTCAACGAGAGTTCCTACAGAGAGAGTTGTGGGCTGTCCTAGGTAGCTAGAGTATGTCGCTCGATTGTCAAAGAAAATGCGTCGAGCTAGCGAGTGCCTGGGTGTCAAACATGGAGTGCTATGTCGGAACTAGCAATGTCATAGCTGATAGCGCTGGTGATATCCAGGAGGCTATGCGAGGGGTTCAACTCAACCCTCGCATAGGGGTTGAGTTCGACATCTCTCTGAAGACGATCCACGTGAGCTCGTCGATGATCTTCGTCCTTATCATTTGAACGCTAGATAGTATGATTGAAAGATATGACGAAAACGGTACGTTCATTATTCTCACATTCACCCCATGCTTCCCATGATATGAGGATCATCCTGGGTTAAGAACGAAATACATCCTCAAAGGATGTATTTTGTTCTAAACGCAGACTCAGCAACAAACCGCACAACAGTAGAGTCTACTGAGTAGACTAGCCAACCGTGAATTCGTCTCCTCAGTGAATCGATAATCCCTTCGAAAATGTGAATGTTAGTGGAGAGTAGCGGAGACATGATGACACAATTTGTCATTGTGTCAGTAGCCCCTCCATGCCCGAGCACACAATGCGTTGCCAATTGGTTGGAAACCGGTATCCGCCCCAAGCAGTGATTGCAGGAAAAATGATTTTGTCCCCTAGCGTTTCGCTAGGAACATGCCAACAGGAGAACAAATCTAACACTCATCCGACACTGATCAGCCGAGCTTTGCTGATGTCGTGTTTATGTACGGAAGCAAGAGCTGTAGGGGAAGATATTTCGGATAATCCCGATGTACCGGTATAAATACCGATGTACGAACGGTATCCGATTTCATCGCCCTACCCCTACATACAGTACTACAGCAGTTCCAGGTGAAATTTTTCTGACGAATTTAATGTTTTCTCCATTTGGTTGATGATGTTTTTGCCTTTTTAGTTATGCATTCGTCGGTCTAACGACCTAACATAATATAATCACTGACAACTCAGAATACAACAAGCTAATAGAAACTACCCCATGTGGACGTGGAAAACCACCACACACATGACTAAGGGAAATACAACTTCGCTCCTCACAAATAGAAAAGAATGAATCTGACAAAAGCCCCTCCCTCTACAGCTCTACACAAATATCACCACATCACATACCACGATTCTTCTACTTCCCATAAGCTACCATCACTCTAGATTGTCGAGACACCAAAGTCTACTCGAGGAAATTCACAGCGTGAATACGTAGCTCACTACAATGGCCAGACCAGATCAACCGCTATCTCGATATACCTCCCTTACATTAGAAAGATTCACCAGCCAACCCGAACCCCACCAATGCTTCACCGAGAACCAGCGACGTGCCCTACCACTCCATCTACGCTTCCTCCGTGGTCCTGCTTCCCGCACTAGACGGACTCATCCTCCTCCCACTTGTCCCACGTAATGGACCTCTCTTGAATCTAACACCGAACAGCCTCACGTCCGTCTCCAAGCCAATCGCTACTACAGAACAAATATCACTA